ATTCTTCGGCTGAGGGACATTCAGGTTGTTTCTAATTTTTGGCTATTGTGAATAAAGCTGCTATGAACATAGTTGAGCAAATGTCCTAGTTATATGGTGGAGCATCTTTCAGGTATATGCCTAGGAGTGGTATAACTGGGTCTTGAGGTAGAACTAATTCTCAATTTTCTGAGAAAGAGACAGATTGATTTCCAGAGAGGTTGTACAAGTTCGCATTCTGACCAGCAAGGGAGGAGGGTTCCCCTTTCTCCACACCTCACCAGTGTGTGTTGTCACTTGAGTATTTGATCTTATCCATTCTGACTGGTATAAGATTAGAGTCATTTTGATTTGCATTTCTTTGATGGTTTGAGGACAGTGAGCATTTCTTTAAATGCTTCTCAGCCATTTGAGATTCCTGTTGTGAATTCTCGGTTTAGTTCTGTATCCCATTTTTAATTGGATTATTTGATTTGTTGATGTTTAATTTGAGCATGACTCTATCTGAGATGCCTAATGGGATAGGCGTGGGGGAACATAAAAGAGTGAAGTGGTCACCTCCTGACCAGGCAGGACTAGTGAGGGAGGGAAACAACAACCCACCGTAAAACCTTTGATCCAAAAATTATCCTGCATACAAGAAGTGCAGAGATGAAGGGGGAATGAAGATTGAGGAAATGTCCAACCAATGATTGGCCCAACCTGGGACCCACCCCAAGGTAGAGAGCCAGCTCCTGACACTATTAATGATGCTCTGCTGTGCTTGCAGACAGGAGCCTAACATGACTGTCCTCTAGGGGGCTCCAGCCAACAGGAGAGCAAGAGAGATGCAGAGACTTGCAGCCAAGCATGGGATGGAGCTCTGGGGGTCCTCTGGAAGTGCTGAGGGAAAGATGGAAGGATCTGGAGGGGACAGGAACCTCACAGGAAGACCAGAAGAGACAACTAACCCAGTCCCATGGGGGCTTACAGAGACTGAGTCATCAACTAAGGAGCATACATGGCCTGGACCTGGGCCCTCTGCACACGTGTGTGCAGAGGGTGGCGTGGTCTTCATTTGGGTTGCCTGGCGAGTAGAGGGGAGTGATTCTAACATGAACTCTGTCATCTGGTTTTGGATTGTTTTCCTCTGGCGGGGCTGCCTTGCCTGGCCTGGGATGGGGTGGGCTGGGATGAAAATGTGGTCAGCCCAGGTATGACTTGGTGTACTTTGGGGAGCTCCCCTTTCCTTGGGGAGAAGTGAGAGGGGAAGGAGGAAAGAGGAGAGAGGGCACTGAGAGGAGAGGTGGAAGGGCCACCTTTGGGATGTAAATAAACTGAAATTTTTAAAAAGATTTTTTTAAAAATTAGGCTAGACCCAGTATACCAATAAAACTGTTAAAACTACTTCAGGCCTGGAAATGTGGCTCAGGAGAGTACATAACCACTTTCTTATTTATTCATAAGTTAAATTCAACCTGGTGATATAAAAGGAATTATCAACTCAGAAAATATGTCTTGCCTACTCACAGAACACAGGTTTTTTTGTTTTGTTTTGTTTTGTTTTGTTTGTTTTGAGACAGGGTTTCTCTTGTGTAGCCTTGGTTATCCTGGACTCACTTTGTAGACCAGGCTGGCCTTGAACTCACAGAGATCCGCCTGCCTCTGCCTTCCAGAGTAATAGTATTACAAGTATGTGCCACCGCATCTGGCTATTAAAATGCTTTTAAAAAGCCTGCATCAAATGGAATTTCTTTGGGGAAAAAAGTCTATATTAAAATGCACAATAGCTACAACATTGTGTTACAGCAAGTTTTCTCAGGAGACAATCTGTATATTTTCAGTCTGTGTTCTTTGCTTATATCAAAGTCTTATTTTTGTTGCATAGAAAGATAAGAGGAAACTCTTAAACTACATAATAGTTACATAATATTCTTTATGACTGAAACTGAATATAGTAACTTTATAACTGTGTGATCCAGCTTCCTTCAGCTCAGTATTTTTGTTGTATATCCATGGCCTACAAAGCAAGAATAAAAATTGTTCTTGTTTTATAGTTAAAAAGATGAGTCAAGGGTTAAGTATGGTGGCACATGTGTTTAATCCTAGCACTCTGAAATCAGAAGCAATCAGATCTGTGTGGGTTCACAGCTAACTTCGTATACATGATGAGTTCAGGATAGGCACAGATATATAGAGAAACCGTCTCAAAACAGCAAAGATGAGTCAAATTATGAAAAATATGACAATGTTTGGCATATAACACAAATCAGCGACTAAATGTTTGCAGCTCTTTGATGTCGTTATTGAGTGTGTTAACCTAAACCAGTGTTCCGGTAGTCCACAGCTCCTCACCATCACCACAAGAATCCTAGTAATTGTTCTATGTATGTAAGTGATTACACTGGCTGCCAGTGAGCTCACCTTTGTGTGAGCTTTGGCAAGGCTGGGCACCTAATGTTCGACATGGTCTGTGTGAAGTGAGCAGCACCTTTGCTGAGTGCTGCTACCATCTACTGGGTTCTGCAGGTTATAACCACACATTTTCATACTTGGCCAAGTTCAGCTTAGGTACTTTGTAGTCAGCAAAACATTGTTTCTTCTAAGCATCCTATTTAAGATTCCATAGATCTGTGACCTCCGTTATGACCTCATTGCATGTCAGTGTGATCTGTTAGTGTATTTTATGGCTCATGAAAAGTACATTATTATAACAAAAAAATCCGCTGAATTATATTTTAAATAATGTCAGGGACTTGGAGATATGGCTCAGTGGTTAAAGCTGGGGAAGCAGTGGGACTAGAGTTCAGACTCTCCAGAACCCATGAGTGGGTGTGGTGACCACCCATAATCTTACACTCAGGAAGACAGATGCTGGATCCCTGGAGCAAGCTAGTTGAGGAGGCTAGCCCTATTGAGGTAGCCTAGGCTTGATTGGGAATGGGATTGAGAAATATTCCCAACATCAACCTCAGACCTTCACATACAAATTTATATACTTGTACATACATACTACATACACATGAAAAGAAGTAAAAATATTGTCATATATATGTAACTCATATAAAAGAATGGAAGTCACTGCTACATAAAATTAAAAGAACTATTAATACTGGAAATACTATGGATTTGTCATAAGGGAATCTAGCTAAGTGACAAGCAGAATATTATAGCCACAGTTAGGGTGACACCACTTCATCCATGGTATCAGGAGCTGGACGAAGAGCCCAGAAGTGGAGAGGAGTTTAACAGAAAAGCAAAGCAGAACTTAGACTTGATGGGAATATCCTGAACCTTGATAGTGTTTTCATGCTTATGTGAATTTCTCCAAATTCCACAAAGGGTGCATTTTACTTTTACATCAGAAAAGTGTGCCTCAGTAGATGTGACTTAAAGTGTTAATGCAGGTTAGCATTTCTTGTGGATATAAATGATAATGCATTTCCATTTCTTCCTCTGAAGTGTATTTATGTGTGCAAAAGCAAAGTTTTAGGGTTCTCACACAGCAATATGTAAGGTAAGTTACTATCAAAAGACCTTGGACTCAGAGGGTATAGAAACTCTTGACTGTCTTGAGCTTGCAGTAAGAGTTGCAGAATGAGATGGCAGTAAGAAAAACTTAAATATGAATGTTGAAAACTTTATTTTTTATCTTATTTTTGAAATTATAATAAAGTAATATTATTCCCTTCCCTTTCTTCCATCTAAGCCTTCCCATATACCCCTCCCCACATTTCCTTGAAATTCATGGCCTCTCTTTTCACTAATTGTCACTGCATGCATGTGTGTGTGTGTGTGTGTGTGTGTATGTACTATATATACATATATATTTCTAAATATAACTTGTTCATTCCTTTTAGTTTATATATGTGCTCAGGTATGACCATTCATAGGACAACTAAATTTCATGGGCAACTAAGCCAGATAGCTGAAGAGCAGTGATACCAAGATGGGAGAGTTTATAGTTTGAACATCAGACAGAGGTTCCTGAAAAACATAAAACTCTGACATATTGTCAAAGTCATAATAATTGCAAGATAGTAGTTATATGTAAAATAAATACTCGTTTTATCAGCAATATTTTATTGAATGCTGGGATTCTTATTGAAATACTATAACTGATTGAAGGAGTTAGAAACCTAGCAAGAAGAAGAAAACGTTCTTATCATCATGAAACTAGTAAAGTTATACAAATAAATTTAAAGGTTAAGGGGCTGGAGAGATGGGTCAGAGGTTAAGAATACTGGCTGTTCATCCAAAAGTACTAAGTTCAATTCCCAGCAACCACGTGGTGGCTCACAACCATCTATAATGAAATCTGGTGCCCTCTTCTGGCGTGTAAGTATACAGGCAAGCAGAACACTGTATACATAATAAATGAATCTTTTTTAAAAATTTAAAGGTTAAATAAATATGTTTAAGGAGGAAACACTAAAATCCAGATTAGTGATCCATACCATTAGTGCCAGCACATTGGAAGTAGAGATAGGCAGATCTCTGTGAGTTCAAGGTCAGCCTGATCTACAGAGCTAGTTCTAGGCCAGTTAGGACTACACAATGAGACCCAGATCCAAAAGAAAAAAAAAAAAAGTATGAAAGAGGTAAGAGGAAGCATGGTTAAAATAAGATTGAAATAAATTTATAGTTGTACCTTAGCATTGGAATATGGTAATCATTTTACAGTTTTCTCTATTAATATTTATGATTATATATTACATATAATATTTTAAGGCAAAATGTTATTTTCATGAGTTAATAAGTAGGACAATGTGGTACTATATGTAAGAAGTAGTAAGAGCAAAGAAAGTCTGACACTGGGCATAGAGAAAGAAAATATTCTGAGAAAAAGGACAAACAGCAATGTCGCCAGGCACAGGCATTATAGCAGCTTCTGTTCAGGTCTGCTCACCAGGTCCACTCTGCCTTGCTGTTTGGGAAACTGCTTTGATTGCGCTTTCTGATGAGGTATTTGCCACCTAAGAAAAAATTGTCTAAGCTTTCTTTTCTTGTATGCAAATATATTTGATTTTTTTTTTTTTTAGGAGACTAATGAACAGAAACTTCACAAAATAGCCAGTGAACTTTTGCTTACAGAAAGAGCTTATGTCAGCCGGCTCAACCTCTTGGATCAGGTAACATTTTGTTGTTATTCTTCATTCTACCCTAAGTATTGAATGAAGCCTTTCAGGAACTGCAGTACAGTCCTGACTGGTTTGAGTAAGGAAAGTTACTTGCTTTAAGGAAATGTTCATAGCCTCATTGTTGAATTTGCTGAGTACAAGATTTTTGCAACTCATAAGAATATAGGTTTCTATATAAGTCACAGAGTGGTTGTGTTCCATAATGTCAAACATTGTTCTTATTTCTTGACCATTTATTGTGCTCTTGGAAGGCCATGTTAACTACTAAAATCTAAATACGCTGTTGGCTGTTACTTCAGTGACTCTGTCTTGGTGATGTATTACATGATGTCACGCCACAGGGTGTTGAAGGCTCACTTATTCAGCCTTGTATGGACCCTGGCTTAGTATCCAGTCAGTGTTTGTTGCATACATGGGTCCACTGTACCACATTCTATGTTTTACAGGCTTGAGTGTGGTTTCACCCATACACTTTGAGAGTTTCTAAGTGCATCAAGGACAACGTAGAAATGCCTGTCATTCTACACTGCTAGCTGGCTCACTGTGGCAGACAGCTCTGCTTACCAGAGGAAACTGCATGTTGGAGTGTTGTGAGCTCCTTTCTACTCTTGCTGTTAGTAACTTGGGATTTCCTGAAAACACATGGTCCTAGACACACCTTATTGTTGATTCCCAGGGTAAAGAATACACTGGTTGTATGTACTTTACCGTGAGACAGAGTCAATCCCTGTGGAATTTGAGCCTTTAAAATAGCAGCTTTTCTTCTATCAGGGAGATACAGGAATACAGGAATGTGTAATGCTCCTATCATGAAAAAAGGTCTTTTTTTTTTTTTCTAGGTAACTTTTGTTTTTTTAAAGGGCCAAATTAATTTGACTACTTTTGCTGATATTAATTACACCATCTGTAAGAGTCTTTAAGGACATAACTTTGTAGTATTTTTTGCCTCCTAATAATAAAGTACAGTTAGATAAATTTAGAAAATGAATAATCATTTGGACATGGTGAAGGAACAGATTTTCTTCTGCCTGAGTTAACAAAATGGCAGTGAAGTAATGTAGCCCGAGCAGAATATTGGTAAGAGTTCAAGATATTTTGTTTTGCCAGTTATCTTTGAGGTACAATATTCAGATGATTGAGGCTGGAGAGATGGCTGCACTGGCAGCTCTTCTAGAGGACCTGAGTTCAATTCCTAGCACCCACATGGCAGCTCACAACTAACTGTCTGTAATTTCAGTTCCAGAAGATCCAACACTCTCACCTAGTCATGTAGGCAGAACACCAGTGCACATAAAAATGAATAAATCTTTAAAAAAAATCAGATGATCCCTGAAAACACATATAAGTATTCAAGTAATCATGTAGTATTATTTAATAAAAAACAAATTGAAATCTGAGCACTAAAAACTTTTTGTTTACTCCTTGTCCAGACGTTCTGGACAAGGTCCTTGTCCAGCACCTGTTCTACAATGAACACTAAGTTACCTCTCTTCCCCTTTTAAGACAAATATAGTATTTATAGCAAGCATGAGCCATGCAGACCACTACACCTAGTCACTTTTTTGTTGCTGTGATTCAAACTTAACAAAAACAACTTAAAGAGGGAAGCACTCATTTTGACTCACAGTTCAAGGGAAGGGTACAGTCCATCTACAGTCCATCGTAGCAGAAAGGTCAGGAGGGCAGGAGCTTGATGAAGCTGATCCACTGTGTTTGTAGTCAAGAAGCAAAAAGCAGCTTGTGTGCTGTACTGCAGCATACCTTCTCCACTGACTCCAGTACCCCAACCAGGGAATGCGACTGCCCACTCGGGCAGCTTTTCCCATCTCAGTCAATGCAGTTAACTGCCCACACACAGGCCCAGAGGCCTATGTCCCGGGTGATTCCTGAGTTTGTCATGATGATAACTAAAACTCACCATTACTCACAGTGAGAGTGATTTACAATTGCTCTAGTCAGTCAAAACATAGTACGTGAAAAATATCACACTCTTTGCAGACTAAAAATCTTTTCACCTCTCTTAATTATAGCCATAGATGAGAAGTGTAAATCCCTCCTTAATCCTCTTGCATAGTTGGAAATCCTCTTGCATAGAAAAGCTCTATTAACTACATACCTTAGAAAAAAGGTAAATAAATACTGTATAGGTGGGGGCATAGTTTTAATTATAAACAAATCTTAAATCTCATTTCAAATTCTTCAAAACCAAAACATATAGTTACTCCTACATTTCAAGGAGTGATTGATTTCTTAAGCCATAAGCTTCCCCATTTACTCAGCAATGTATTGATTCCAGCCCAGTGAAGGCTATCACAGTGAAAACTTGCTAGCCCACAAATCTAAAGTGATATTTGCTTTATTTTTTTATTCAGGTATTTTATTGCAAACTATTAGAAGAAGCAAACCGAGGCTCGTTTCCTGCAGAGATGGTGAATAAAATCTTTTCTAACATTTCATCAATAAATGCCTTCCATAGTAAATTCCTATTACCAGAGCTGGAGAAGCGCATGCAAGAATGGTAAGACGGAGAAAAGGGATTTCTGTGCCTAAGACATGCATACAGGATGCAGCTTTTTAGCATTTAAAGTAGAAGAAAACAGATATACCACACACCACTACAATTAATATAGTTCCAAATTTTTACATAAAAACTGCTGGTAGATGTTGAATGACTTTTCAGATTTCTATGAATAGTCTTTCGCTTCTGTGCTCTAAACGATGTTCTGACTAGTGAAGACAAGACTCAGGCATGATTGGCAACTGGGAATTCCATAGCCTCTGCCTGAAGTTTTTGAAAGATGTTTGTTAGGGCAAAGTGGATCTAATAGAGCGGGTGGTTTGGAGTGACAATCTGTGGGCCTACAGATTTCTTCATTCTATAAGAAACCTAATGACACTTTAATATTTACTACAGGGAAAATACTCCCAGAATTGGAGATATCCTGCAAAAGTTGGCACCATTCCTTAAGATGTACGGAGAATATGTAAAGGGATTTGATAATGCAGTGGAACTGGTTAAAACCATGACAGAGCGCGTTCCCCAGTTCAAATCTGTGACTGAAGAGATTCAGGTAATAGGACTCTTTTTCTCCTGGTTACAAATTAACTTTTTCTGACAAATTATCTGGTCTTCAAAAATCTAAAGTTGAGATGTTTCCCCCTCCCCCACTGAGGAATTTAGCCAAAATCCATTCTACTCTAAATCCTGCAAAGATGGTGTCTGCAGTTAGAGCAGTTAGTTATTACGCACAGGCCACATACTACATGGAAAAAATGCTCAATGTGCTTTGCTTTAAATTTTTTTTAGTTTGCCCCTTCCTTCTATGTCCTCCATTCCCTACTCTGTCACTCTTGGCTTCCTCTCAAATCCATTGCCTCGTCTTTAACTGTCATTGTTACAAATATATATATATATATATATGTTATATATGTATGTATTTATGTGTGGATGTACACACACACACACACACACACACACACACAACCTGCTGAGTACATCTAGCGCTACTTGTCTATGTGTTTTCAGGGCTGCTACTTAAAAAACCAATCATGAGCTCATCCCTGAGAAAGAACAACTCTCACGCTTCCAGCAGCCATTAATTTACCAAAAAGTGGGCCCCATGAAATTACCTTCTTCTGTTTTAGCATGTTGATGGTTGTTTTCGTTTACAAATCTTGTGTAGGCAGGCATATTGTTGAGTTTCATAGATGAGGCATCCCTGTCATTTCTAGGAGATTGATTCTTCCAGCTGACTTAGTGATCCTCTGGCTTTTATAGTCTTTCCATTCCCTCTTCTGTGATGCTCCCTGAGCCTTAGCTAATACAGCCACTGGGGCTGGGGCCCCTATATTTTATGTTATAATTTCTATAATACAAAGAAAAGTTTCCTTGATCATGGATAAAAGCTACATTTATGTATAGTTATATGGATAGGTGTCCAGAATTAGGAATTATGCTGCTTTAATAATGTAGCAACAGTAGATTCTCTTTTAAGATCATGACAGAACTAGCCATGACAAGTTGGCTACATTTCCTCTGGTTAATTAGACCTCAGGTCCAATTAGACAGCTTATTGGTTACCTTGCCTCCAAGATATGAGTGCCTTTATTACACCTCTAGGGACATTCTACCATGCTAAACATTTTTGTGGTTCACAGGCATCACACCTGGGTAGGATGATTGAGTGCCGCCCCACCCCTTCCAGATTGCACAGCATCTCAGGTGCCATGAAAGCTAGTTCACAGTGGGGAGGCCCTTAGGTCCTATCTATCTTGATTCCCCTGAGGCCTGTGTCTAAACTATACAGTATCTTCAGCAATATGGACCTACCGTCAAATTCCGAAAGGCAAATGAAAGCAGCAGCAGTAGTCGATAAAGGTTTAGGAGTCCCTTGGATTCATCCAGCCAACAGTTAAAAAGGAGATTTCTCACCTTACACCCATCAGAATGGCAAAGATGAAAAACTCAAGTGACAACACATGCTGGAGAGGTTGTGGAGGTTCCCTCCGCTGCTGGTGGGAATGTAAACTTGTACAACCACTTTGGAAATCAATTCTGGCGCTTTCTCAGACGACTAGGAATAGCGCTTCCTCAAGATCCAGCCATACCACTTCTAGGCATATATCTATCCAAAAGAGGCTCAAGTACACAATAAGGGCATTTGCTCAACCATGTTAGTAGCAGCTTTGTAATAGCCAGAAGCTGGAAACAGCCCAGATGCCCCTCAACCGAAGAATGGATGCAGAAATTGTGGTAAATCTACACAATGGAGTATTATTCTGCAATGAAAAATAAGGAAATTATGAAATTTGCAGGTAAATGGTGGGACCTGGAAAGGATCATCCTGAGTGAGCTGTCCTAGAAGCAGAAAGACACACACAGTATATACTCACTTATATAGACATATAACATAAGATAAACCTACTAAAATCTGTACATCTAAAGAAACTAATTAAGAGAGAAGAACCCGACTAAAATGCTCAATCCCCATCCCAAAAGGCAAAGAGAATGGACATCAGAAGAAGAAGAAAACAGGAAACAACCTAGAAACCTGCCACAGAGGGCCTCTGAAAGGCTCTGCCCTGCAGACTATCAAAGCAGACGCTGAGACTTATGGCCAATGGTTGGGCAGAGTGCATGGAATCTTATGTAAGAAGTGGGAAGTAGTAAAAGTGGGTTCCTGGAGAGGACAGGAACCCCACAAGGAGAGCAACAGAACCAGAAAATTTGAACACAGGGGTCTTCCCAGAGACTCATACTCCAACCAAGTACCACACATGGAGATAACCTAGAACCTCTGCACAGATGTAGCCCATGGCAGTTTAGTATCCAAATGGGTTACATAGTAATGGGAAGAGGGACTGCCTCTGACATAATCTGATTGGCCTGCTCTTTGATCACCCTCCCCGGGGGGGGGGGGGGGG